CTCTCAAACTCTGGACCTCAAGTGATCTATCCACCTCGGCATCCCAAAATGCTGGGGTTATGAGCCACCATGCCTGGCTCATCACTTTAAAAATCAACTCCACTAGTAGTCATTCTCCATCTTGCCTCCATCAACCCCTGGCAGCCACTAATCTACTTTCTGTCTCTAGACATTTACCCCTTCTGAACATGTCATACAAATGGAAACACCAACAGGTGGTGTCTCGTGCATGGCTTATTTCATAATATATTCTAATTTTGTCCATATTAGAGGATATACTTCATTTATCTTTTTGGCTGAATAATATTCCATTATACAGACATACAACTTATTTACTCATTCATCAGTTAATGAACATTTGGGTTGTTTCCACTTTTTGGCTATTATGAATAATGCTACAAACATTCATTTACCAGCTTTAGTGTGAATACATATTTTCAATTATCTTGGGCATATGCCTATAAGGGGAATTGCTAGGCCATATGGTAACTCTATGTTTAACCATTTGAAGAACTGCCAAACTTTCCCAAAGGGACTATGCCATTCTACTTTCCCACCAGTAGTGGATGAAGGTTCCAGTTGTTCTGCATCCTCACCAGCACTTGTCATTTTCCATCTTTTTGACTGCAATCATCCTAGTGAATATGAAATGGTAACTCCTTGTGGTTTATGATTTCAACAAATGTGGTATCTTTTTTTTTTTTTTTTTTTTTGGAGACGGAGTTTCTCTCGTTACCCAGGCTGGAGTGCAATGGCACGATCTCGGGTCACCGCAAACTCCCCCTCCTGGGTTCAAGCAATTCTCCTGCCTCAGCCTCCTGAGTAGCTGGGATTACAGGTACGCGCCACCATGCCCAGCTAATGTTTTGTAGTTTTAGTAGAGACGGGGTTTCACCATGTGGACCAGGATGGTCTCGATCTCTTGACCTCGCGATCCACCCGCCTCGGCCTCCCAAAGTGCTGGGATTACAAGCGTGAGCCACCGCGCCGGCCTCAAATGTGGTATCTTTACCGGAAAAAAAAAAAAAAAAAAAAAAAAAAAAAAAAGAAATTTAAAAAAAAAAAAAAAAAAAAAAAAAAAAACTCAGCCTCTGGCACTTGCTATATAACAATGAAACTGGCATCCTTTTTAAAAGGAGGATCGAAAGCAGTTTAACTTGATATGTTAGGATTATTCCTTGAATGTAGAAACATTATATATTCTTGTCATATGACGTGACCGTGCATCCAATAGGAAGAGTTCTTTCATGTCCCTTGCCTTGATAACTTTAGGCCTGGGCATGTGACATGCTCTAAGGTAAAATACGAGAAGATGTGATAATTTGCCACAACTGAGTAGAAGCTTACAACTGCTGACAATCTCTCTCTCTCCTACATTCTGTCATACCCCTGACAGAGGCTGCTCCTCGAACCTCCATCCCAGAATGAGAAGACACAAAGAACAGAATCCCAGTCTAGAGCCAAGCAAATCCAAACCTGTTACCCAGCAGACACTTGGTAATTAAATTAAAATTTTTAGAACTATTTTTAAGTGCATAGGAAAAAGTCTTACCAAGCGCAGTGGCTGACACCTAGAATCCTAGTGCTTTGGGAGGCCAAGACAGGAAGATCACTTGAGTCCAGGGGTTTGAGACCAGAATAGGCAAGAGTGAGACCCCATTTCTACAAAGATTTGTTTTAAAGAAGCCAGAAGTGGTTGTGCACAACTGTAGTCCTAGCTACTGTAGAAAATGAGGTAGGAGGAATCACTTGAGCTCAAGAGTTCAAGGTTATAGCAAGCAATGACCATGACACTACACTCAAACCTGGGTGACAGAGCGAGACCATGTCTCCTTAAAACAAAAAACAAAAACAAAACCTCATAAGCTCACACTAAATTGTTAAAGGTAATGAATAAATTGATGTATACATCAATAATTTTCACTTACTTTGTTCATTTTGTATTATTATGTTTTAAGGAACATGTACTACTTTTGTGATTTCTTCATTTTCTTTTATTAAAAATTACCTATGCTAAGCTGGGCAAAGTGGCTCACACTTATAATCCCAGCACTTTGGAGGTCAAGGCAGGCAGATCACTTCAGGTCTGGAGTTCAAGACCAGCCTGGCCAATACGGTGAACCCCCATCTCTACTAAAAATACAAAAATCAGCCAGATGTGGTGGCAGGCACCTATAATCCCAGCTGCTTGGGAGGCTGAGGCAGGAGAATTGCTTGAACCTGGGTGAGCCAGGGTTGCAGTGAGCCATTGCACTCCAGCCTCGGTGTCACAGTGAGACTCCGTCTCAAAAAAAACAAACAAAAAGAAAACCGATGCTGGTCTTCACTTAACATAGCTGATATTAAGTTACAATAAATTTTAAGACAAAGAACATCAATAATAAAAACATATCTGATTTAGATAGAGAACTTTCTACATATGTGATTACATTTATAAATCTCATTGGAAATATAAGCTTAATGGAAGCATTCCCTTTAAAAACTGGCACAGGTTGCCCTCTTTCACCACTTATATTCAACATAGTATTGGAAGTACTGGCCAGGGCAGTCAGGCAAGAGAAAGAAATAAAGAGTATTCAATAGGAAGAGAGGAAGTCAAATTGTCTGTTTACAGATAACATGATTCTATATTTAGAAAACTCCATCGTCTCATCCCAAAAACTCCTGACACTAATAAGACACTTCAGCAAAGTCCCAGGATACAAAATCAATGTGCAAAAATCAAAAGGCTTCCTATACACCAATAATAGAAAAAGAGAGAACCAAATCATGAGTGAACTCCCATTCACAATTGCTACAAAAAGAATAAAACCATTAGGAATACAACTTACAAGGGACGTGAAGGACCTCTTCAAAGAGAATAACAAACCACTGCTCAAGGAAATAAAAGAGGACATAAACAAATGGGAAAACATTCCATACTCATGGTTAGGAAGAATCAATCATGAAAATGGCCATACTGCCCAAGGTAATTTATAGATTCAAGGCTATTACCATCAAGCTACCACTGACTTTCTTCACAGAATTAGAAAAAAACTACTTTAAATTTCATATGGAACCAAAAAGCCCAGATAGCCAAGACAATCCTAAGTGAAAAGAACAAAACTGGAGGCATTATGCTATCTGACTTCAGACTACACTAGAAGGCCATGGTAACCAAAACAGCATGGTACTGGCACCAAAACATACATATAGACCAATGGAACAGAACAGAGACCTCAGAAATAACACCATACATCTACAGCCGTCTCATCTTCAACAAACCTGATAAAAACAAGCAAGGGGGGAAGATTCCCTGTTTAATATGTGGTGCTGGGAAAACTGGCTAGCCACATGCAGAAAACTGAAACTGGACCCCTTCCTTATACCTTATACAAAAATTAACTCAAGATGGATTAAAGACTTAAATGTAAACCCTAAAACCATAAAAACTCTAGAAAAAAACCTAGGCAATCCCATTCAGGACATAGGCATAAGCAAAGACTTCATGACTAGACCACGAAAAAGCAACTGCAACAAACGCCAAAATCAACAAATGGGATCTAATTAAACTAAAGAGCTTCTGCACAGCAAAAGAAACTCATCAGAGTCAACAGGCAACCTACAGAATGGGAGAAAATTTTTGCAATCTATCCATCTGATAGAGGTCTAATATCCGGAATCTACAAGGAATTTAAACAAATTTATAAGAAAAAAACAACCCCATCAAAAAGTAGGCAAAGGCTATGATCAGACACTTCTCAAAACACTTGTCAAAAGAAGACATTTATGTGGCCAAGAAACATATGAAAAAAAGCTCGTCATCACTGGTCATTAGAGAAATGTAAATCAAAACCATAATGTGATACCATCTCACACCCGTTAGAATGGCAATCACTAAAAAGTCAGGAAACAATAGATGCTGGCGAGGCTGTGGAGAAATAGGAAAACTTTTACACTGTTGGTGGGAGTGTAAATTAGTCTGGCGATTCCTCAAGGATTTAGAACCAGAAATAGCATTTGACCCAGCAATCTTATTACTGGGTATACACCCAAAGAATTATAAATCATTCTACTATAAAGGCACATCCACACACGTTTACTGCAGCACTACTCGTAAAAGCCAAAACTTGGAACCAACCCAATGCCCATTCTAAGACTGGATAAAGAAAATGTGGCACATATATACCATGGAATACCATGAAATCATAAAAAATGAGTTCATGTCCTTTGTAGGGACATGGATGAAGCTAGAAGCCATCATTCTCAGCAAACTAACACAGAAACAGAAAATGAAACATCACATGTTCACTCATAAGTGGCAGTCGAACAATGAGAACACATGGACACAGAGAGGGGAACATGACACACGAGGGCCTGTCGGGGGGTGGATACATGTTCAGCACATGTATCCCAGAACTTAAATAAAAAAAAAAAGAAGAAGAAGAAGAAAATACAACCTTAAGATTAGGATAAAAAGTAGTACCAATTCTTAGCAACTTCAAAAAAATTTTAACTACATGAATAATAGCTTCATAATAAACTACTCCCATAACAACACTATTAATGCAAATTTGCTTAGTGGATTAAACAAACATCTGCATCACATCTGCCATCCTCTCAAACAACATCTACCTTCTCTAAAACCTCAATCTGATCTGAGCCATCCCAATTCTCAACTACATAGCCACTCTACCTGAGATGAAAAAGGGCTGGGACTGAATGACTGCTGAAATATATTAAACCAGTCTAATTGCAGGGTAACTGAGGGGTTTTCTGCCTGAGGTAGTTTATCTTGGTTCACTTACCTACAAACACTACTGTAAACACTCTTCCCAATTATTTTATACACACTGAGACTGGCACCCCATGATATTGCATACACGGCATTCCCAGAAAAATAAACCTCAAGTAGAAAATATTCCTAAAATACCCATTTTTGTTTAAAAGGAAATTACTTATCTCTCCTGGTAAAAAGACGTAAAATGACAAAAATACAATAAACATTAAAATTAACAGTGTCAGGTTAATAAATCATTATCCATGATTTAGTTATATTAAAATACATCAATGTTTTTAATTATTTTCAGTTAACATAATTACAATGGAACTGTAAGCAATTATTACAGTTCAACTCCATGTAGTATTAACTTTTCTTCTCTTCTGATTCTTGTACCAATTGCAACTTTTCTTTTAATTCCTTCTGATCTTTGGCCAACTGTTCAAATATTGGTTGATAAATATATACTCCTCCAGCAATTCCAAGGACAGTAGCAAAAACCAGTTGTGGAAGAGTCAATCTCTTAAACATTGTTGCAACAAATACAGCACAAGGAAAAGGTGGTTTTGGAAAAAGTCACACTCCAAGCCCAGGAAATCTCTTCAAATCTGTGTACAAAAATGGAAAGCAAAGCCATCACTTAATACAATGTTCTTTTAAAAGATTTTATGTCATTACTTTGCACTGCAGTGAACAATATTTTTATAACATATTACTGATTAAAACAAGAATTTCAATACATAAGGAGTACAGAAATGAATTAG